CTGTTAGAATTCAAAAGAAAGAATTTAAAAGTCACGCGCAAGTTCGCGAAAACACCTCGTGGGTTACATAACAGGGGGGGTGAATATTTTCACGAAACGCTTGTTCACCACCACAGGCCACAGCAACCTAAGTTAGGTACATTATATTTATTGTATAATTGTGATTTTTGATAAAAACCATAAATATTTGCGTATATTTATCATCAATTATAAAAATACAAAAAATATAATACATTTAGTTAGGTTGCTGTGGTGGCGAACAAACGTTTCGTGAAAATATTCACCCCCTGTTATGTAACCCACGAGGTGTTTTCGCGAACTTGCGCGTGACTTTTAAATTATTTCTTTTGAATTCTAACAGGACAATTGTACTGGGAGGTTTTTTCCTCCCAAGTACAAATAATATTTCCAATTTTTGGATTGGGACTATTCTACAATGAAGTACTCTTGGATAATGTAATCTAAATACATATGAAAACGAAGAAGTGGCATTTATCGGGCAGAGAAGCGGCGAGCCATTAAAATGGCGGCAATTTGACGAGATATCGAAGGACACATTATCGAAGATAAAATACACTGCACTGTTTCAAAAGTGGATGAAACCTTCTTTGAAATCTTCTTCAGCCATTTATGATTATGTAAAAGTACAATAACTGGATGATATTTGCGTGATTCGGCGATAAAAAGCAAACAAGACGGCAAAATATGGCTGAAATCGCGTTTTCGTGGGGGGTAAGTGAAATAAAATGTATTATATTTAAAGAAAACAATGACAATCCTTATGAAATCAACAATATTTATATTAAATTAAGCATAGCTTTTAACCCCATGATAATTTTTTTTAGGAAATAAGAATATTTAATTTCTGCCAGGCATATTAGTTATTTTATGCATAATCAGCAATTTACCTGGGGTGGTGCATGGTCATTTTCTTGTAAAATATTATACTTAGACAAATTTTTCTTCCAATGACCACTCCTAAAAGCAACCCTTCTAAACACTATAAGCACTTCAGAAAGACTATCGCTTTTTGTTTTCTGAAGTTAGAGCTATGTCGACACTGCCGTTTCAGGGCGGGGTCATTTTCAGGACTTTCGTCCCGGATTCAGCTTTTGGCACATATGCCATGTTGACCGCCATGGTCATTTTACCCTAAAACAGTTGAGATTACCTGTGCTAAATGAAATGCATACAAACTCATATACAGGTCCTAGACTATGTTTGCCAAGAAATGATAAACCAGTGGAATAAGAGGCGATTGTCCTTGCATTCCCCTCTGGTATGCCAAAGGTGCAGGGATTCAAATGACTGGTGCAATTGAATATGCTTATAAGCTTATTCACTGTATTTAATTAAAAGCTATTAAAATTACTCACTAATAATACAACTGAGAAAATTCAGAAATAGAAAATACACCTATAATATTCTATATGCTATATTTAAAAATTCCAATTGGCCATTTTAATATAGAGCCATTTTAATATAGGCGGGTAATAGGCCAAGCACCAATACCAAAAGTATAATAATTAATAAAACATTTTACATTTACAGTGTGCTTATACTTGAGCACAATGTTTTAATAATAGGCAACTTTATAACAAGAAAATGTTAAAATGAAGAAACTTTTTAATGGCTTCATAATTCACGTTTCTTCGATATTGTTGCTTACTTCTACTTTATAATTGTCCATTTTGTTATTTTCTTTCTTTCTGTTTGCAAATTATCTCCATTAATCCATAGAAAACAAGCAGTATACGTTTGTATTTTTTCGTATTTCGAACGCGCCAGACTGCAGAGTACGGCAAGGGCACACCCGAGATTTTTTTTGGCCAATGGTATTGCACACTTAAACATATTTCGAATATTTTCCAGTTTTGTCAGGCATTAAAATAAGGACTTCTAAGACAAGTGTAATATAACAACCACCTGAAAATCGGGAACGCTGATTGATGGGCACAAATGAAAAATGTCCATTAAAGTTTTGAATTTCTATCTACAGCAGAGTTTTGCGATCATCAGGTTGTTATGATTAAACAAAACCGTATAGCATGTAAGCATGGGCACAAGAGAACTTTTAATTGGTCCGATTTCCTCGAGGCGCCACCATGGTTGGCGCCGAGCGGAAAATTTTTGAAATTTGGAGTCCCTACATTGTCGGAAATGGCATTTTCGAGTGCACACTTTTCCATTTGCAACTCAATTACAAGGACATGCACATTTTCCTTTTACAGGACACAAAGTGTGTCAAAAACACGTTATTTTGTACGTGTTCATAATGACTTTTAACTTCGATCGAAATATATATATATTCTTGTTTGTTCTTCAGAATTTGGACCACGTTTTGTTTTCCTGAGAGGCAGAAATTTTAGTTATTTGTACAAATAAACAATCATTGTTTAATATCATTAAAACATGTAGCTATTTACAAGTGCACACTTGACTACGTTAACTGAGGATTGCACACTTGCACACCTGAATTTTTGTCTTGCACACCCGAGATCTCGTCGAAAACTGCCATACTCTGCAGTCTGGCGAACGCGCACTCCTTGAAGGCAGCCATATTGCCGAATATAAACATCCACTTGATGAATAAACTTTTCATACTTCACTCTATTTCCAACGACCAATCAAATCACTTCTGCTTCGGCTTGTCCCAGGGCTTACGGCAACGCAGGCAGCCGAGAAGCCCTGGGAACGAGGATGTATGGTTGATTGATTGAGCGCTCTTCGCATGCGTAAAAAGACTGAGACTGGCCTTCAAGTTTGACTTCAAATTTCCGATTGGAGGTAGCGTTCCAGTTATATTAATTTCAATGCACTGAACTAAGGGACTGTTCATATGGAGCCAGGCTGGCCGGAATGATTCGTTTAAATAGAGAATAAGGCATGGGACGAGAAGTAAATCTGGTATTTCCAAGCACCCATGTATTTTTCTGTTTATTATATAAAGGACAGTCCTTGAAAAGCGATAATTTTTACAGAAAAGCGCGATAATTTTCATATGTGAAATTATCATGAATAATTGAGATTATCAGTTTTATCAGTGCTCGAAATCTCTTTCAAAAACTCATTAATAATTCATGAAGCAATTATCCAATCTTGAGTAAGAAATTAGTCACGTGCATACGTCTTTATACCAGCTAAAGAACACTTTAACAAAAGACCATTGTTATGCAAACTATATAAAGGATTTTTATATAAAGATTTTTATATAAAGATTTTTATATAAAGATTTGACTTATTATGCATACGTTTTTGAAGTCATTTAAAAAACTCGCGGGTCGTGTTTTATTAGGTCTAAAGCCACTCGCGCTGCGCGCTCGTGGCTTTAAACCTAATAAAACACTCCTGCTCGTTTTTTAAATAGTACATAAAGCACTATACCTCTGGCACTATACTTTATAATAATATTGAATAATTCTCTTTTCACGTCAATGACTTAAATTTATAATTAATAGAAGTATGTTTTGGTATTTATAGTGTTAAATAAAGGGCAGGAAATATCTTTGTTTGTTGAAGTCAATGAGCGTATTATTGATAATACTCTGAATGCAGATGAAGCTGTCAACCCACGAGCTCACTTATTGAATATTGGGAGAGAAGGATAGGTCAAGTTGACAAGTGAACGGAAATCTTGTTGATCAAATTCTGAAATTTTATTCTTCACTGCCTTTTGTTTTTTCAGAGCTTTATTTTGGCACAAAAATAATTATATATTATTGTACATAACTAACATAACTATCACACTAGTAGAACAACGAAACGATGAGCACTAGCTGTAAAAAGTGCCAAAGTGGCGAAACAACTAACTAAATGTTACCAGTTGCCACAGTTGGGTAGACAGAGTCAGAGGAGAAACAGTTTCGCTTTACACAAAACGTAGAAATTAATCGTGCAGTTTTGCTGAATCACCAGGGAGTTTGGCAAATACAACGGCAACGAGAACGTGCTCATCAACAATAGCATCTTTACCAGAAACTTGTGATTCAAGTAGACAGTGCTGAGAACTTTTTAACACAGAAGTTTGAGAGCTTGGTGAACAAGAGTAAAGGAAACAAAGCTGATAGCAAGAATGGTACTGATGGAGTGATTGTTAGCGATGGCGATACAGCACATCCTGCTGTACTGGAGGTATGTAAATGTTCCTGCTCTGTTGATCTAGAGGGCTTGAAGCTTGAAATAACAATTTTAGAATCGCGATTATTTGCCGCAATTTCCAAAAATGAGCTTGAGTCAGATATTGATCTGCTCAGAGTTAAACAGAAAGAATCGGAAGCCGCTATAAGACGCCAAGACGATGTGATTTGTACTCTTAACGAAGAGAATCAATTCCTTAAAGCAAGGCTGTTGGCTCTTGAAGAGTCGTTTCTCAAGATAACTTATAATGTCAATAAAGACAAAGAACCTGGCTTATCAGTTTACAAAGCTAAAAGTATTGACAAAGCGGCCGCTTTTCATGCCAGTGAACAATATAACAAAAGGGGTACATCCTCGGGTAGAAGAATTTGCATCACAGACTACGTCATCAGTTAGTTATAGCGATTAGTTTTGAGGTTAGGGTAAGGGTTAGGGTTAGGGTGAGGGTTAGGGTAAGGATTAGAGATAGGGATTTGGTTATATCTGACGCCACAAACAACACAACTAGCCGATCACGTGATCACTTCTCCTCTACCCGAGGAACTACCCAACAAAAGTAACCTCAGCTCAATTAACACTGAATTACTTAATACCTCTCATGACAATAGTCTTGCTTGGCATAATAACAACGGACAATGCAATGCCGATTATTTGAATAATAATCAAATTGATCTTGCAAATGATGATGCTGTGTTTTCCTCAAAACAGCAGAATGAAAATAATATACACAAAGGCATAAATTCGAACTTGCAATCCGAATCGCAGCAGTCAACCAACATAGAAGGGAATAAACTTAGATATGATCTGTCCCCAAAACCCTCTCATGACAATAGCCGTATTAGTTACGATCCATCTCTAAAAACCTCTCATGACAATAGCCTTATTCGGCATAATGACAACAGCCAATGCAATGCCGACGATTTGAAGAATAATCACATTGACCTTACAAATGATGATGCCGTGCTTTTCCCACAACAGCAGAATAAAAATAATAAACATAAAGGCTTAAATTCGAACTTGAAATCGGTATCGCAGCAGTCAATTAACAGCGAAAGGGAAAAAACCAAATACAATCCGTCTCTAAAATCCTCTGTCCCGTGCCCTTTTCTCATACGCCGTGGTAGATGTTTTAAAGGCGACCGATGCGACTTTAAACACCCAAAACCATCTGAAACACGGAAGTGCAATATACCATGTCCTTTTCTGCATAAAAGAGGGTACTGTCTGAAGAAAGAGATGTGTGATTTTTCCCACGACAAATTGATACGTAACTCATCCCCCATGCCCTATCCAGGCGATTATGCTTCTCCTGATTTTTTATCACACCGATTCACCAACCCATTTCCGCCGTACCAGAATTATTATTACCGAGAACCTTGGAGAAATCTCCGCCCATTGAATCCTTTAATGGAAATTCCAATCCCTATATCGTCACAATATCCAAATCCCTATTCTCCAGCCATACAGCCCCCAATGAGTTACCCAAATCAGTACCCTTCACCCCTGATGACGAATTACACAAGACCGCCCAGGCGTTGACAGGTGATTACGATTCATCCAAGTTTGTTTGTCCCTTCCTTAACAATGGTACCCATAAGATACCCGATACCGAACTAAATAAGATACCCGTCAGAATTACTCCACGCACAAGACAGCACAGTTATATAAAATCTCTTAGGCATTGCAGCACTTTGAGACCTATGCAAGTGAATAAAACTGCCCCGAGTCAACCACGCTTAATTCCATGTTGCTCAGTGTTGAACGCCAGATCTATTGCAAAACCTGATGCTTTTCCTGCTTTGTGCGCAGACATTAAGTGCAATAACATAGATGTTTGTTGTATAACCGAAACATGGCTCAAACCGACTATACCTAGCTCCCTCGTTTGTCCTCCCAATTTTGCCATCATTAGAAAGGATAGAACAAACTGTGGAGGAGGAGGTGTCGCGATCTTATGCAGGAATGATTGGAGAATGCAGCTACTACCTGATTTGGATAATCCATTCGAATGTTTATGGACAAAAATTATTACACAAAACTCTGAATTCTTTGTTGCAACTATTTACCACCCACCTAACTATGAGTATAATGAGCAAGACCTTATCGAATTCCTTATTGACTCGTGCGAACAACTATTGTTATCTAAACCGAATTCAAATATAATAATTGCTGGTGACATTAACAATTTAAACATTCGATCTGTTCTTAATCAACTTCCATTTACCCAACTCGTTAAGACCCCTACGAGAGGGTTAAAAATATTAGATGTCTTTATTACAAATGTCCCAAACTATTGGAAATCTGTTAAAGTTGTAAAAAGCTTGGTGAGATCCGACCATGATATGGTTATCACATACCCCCGAAACAGAGTTAAAGCAACAAGGACAAATTCCTATTTCAGAGATGTGAGACAACATCATCAATTGAATATGCTTCGTGAACTTGAATCTATTGATTGGAACACGATAATTATGAATAGCCATAACCTAGATGAGATAACCCTAAAATTTTATGAAATAATATGGCCAAAATTCGATAAGAGCTTCCCACTAATTAAGGTCAGAACGTCATCACGCGACCCTCCGTTCATGTCTCCTCTTGTGAACCACCTTCTGAATCAAAGGAAAAGAGCCATACAAAACGGAAATACTGAAGCAAATAGACGATTGCAAGAAAAAATCAACAAGTTAATTCGGGAAAATCAATTAAGTGCAGTCAAACAGGAGTTTGGCAACCAGAAAACTGGATCGAAAAGTTGGTGGTCTAACGTAAATAGCATTACATCGAGAAAAAAGAAACATGATGTATCAGTAAGTGCTTCTCTTAACCCTACTGAAATTAACAAATATTTTCAAAGTGTGAATACAGACCCAAATTATACGACTCCCGAGCCTCTTCAAATCTCCGAAGGAACAAGAATTCCCTCGTTGTCAATTCATGAAGTTCAACATCTTTTACGCAATCAAAAACGCTCTTCATCGGGTCCGGACAATCTGCCATATTGGTTTTGGAAATCGTTTGCTATTGAATTAGCTCCTATTGTCACAGAAATTTTTAACATGTCACTAAAACCCAGCAAAGTACCTCAGAAATGGAAATCCGCTAATTTATTACCAC